CTTCCAGGTGTAGAGAATCACAATTTAGGCTATTACACTTCATGGCAGATATAGAGTCTAAGAGCGGCTTCTGAAACAATTATGGGGGCAGATTCTGACAAGTCCATAAATTCAAATAAGAACTGGCTTTATTGTTTGGTGGTAGCGAACAAGCAGCACTGACTTCGTTTTAGTATCTATAGAACAACAAGTATGGAATTAACCAAAGGACTCGCTTTTGCCGGATAGGTTGTGAACCATATATGATACAGTGGTACCTTGGGTTACAGATGCTTCAGGTTACAGACTCCGCTAACCCAGAAATAGTACCTCGGGTTAAGAACTTTGCTTCAGGATGAGAACAGAAATCACACAGCGGCGGCACAACGGCAGCGGGAGGCCCCATTAGCTAAAGTGGTACCTCAGGTTAAGAATAGTTTCAGGTTAAGAACGGACCACTAGAACAAATTAAGTTCTTAACCCGAGGTACCACAGTATCTGTTTCTTTCAAGAAAGGGAAATAAGAAGTTTCCTCTTCCTCAATATTATAACACTTCCTACATTTTTTAATTTTATATTAAGAAAAAGGTTTCTAAATTACTTCATCAGGTCAGTAACTCTGACATAGAAGCTGAAGTGCTACAGAGTCAGAGGAATATCACTCCTTCCCCCTCCTCTGGGCCAGCTGGTGAGAGTTGAAGTAAGTTTTGCACCCAGACCACTGACCATGAGGGGACATTTAGGGCCACAATGCCTTGTGGTTGGAAGGCAGAGTCAGGAGCCCTGCTTGAGAATTGGCCTGCTCAACCACTCAATGCCTCATGGTTGGGGTGTGTGTATGTGAGATCAGAATTCCCTCAGAGCAGTTAATGTGCTGATGATGGGGAGTGACAGGGCATTTTTTTCCAGCCGGAACTTGCCAAAACTCAGTTCTGGCACCTCTTAGGTGGGTGCCGTTGCCATGATAGGAAAACAAGGGAGGTGTTCATGGTGAGTTCTGGCACCTCTTTTTCTAGAGAAATAGCAAGGATCTTTGTGTAATGACCATTTACGCAGATATGTTCAGAGATAATAAATTTCACAACTTTTCTCTCCCCCTCCCCTATGCCTTTATGAACTTGATACTTTTGTGGAATATTCAAACATGGTAATCAGTATGTAAACATTCCCATTACCCCAAGTCTCAACGTTTTGTAAAATTGTCAAATTGTTTAAATTTTGTTCACCATTCCCTTATGGAAACATAACTGATATAATTCAGTCTTGCCTCTTTCTAAAAATGTACCACTAGTTCAAAAAAGAAATGGACAAAAGTCCTCTGTAGGTTCCAACTCTTACTTCTCATCAGAATCAGCATACAGACAACAAAAAATGACCTTGAGTGTTTGTATGCCACATGGCTCAGTGTCACAAAGTCCACCCATTTCATTCAATATCCTTTAAAATAAAATCAGAGAAAATGAAAGCAATTCCACAAATGCAAAGTTATCAGAGTGAATGCAGCATTCTTTGACCTGCTAAGTTTTTAATTAACCTATGTCACAAACGGCTGAACGGATTATCTCTGCTACAGTGCCTTATGCATAAAACCAACAGTTACAGTTCTTCAGAAAGCAAAACTTGCTCGCTTGGCAAAAATTTCAGGAGTGCAGGAGGGAAAAATAGAAACTAACACCAAATGCTTCCCTAATAAACTGTAAAAAGGAGCACAAAATAAATGTATATGTTATTTCACTGATTTGGATAACATAACCAGCTTGCCGATTTGTTTAGTTTCTGCGTTGACCCATGGTTAGAGCACAAAAATACAGTGATCCAAAAAGTGTTATCCAAGAAGTGTCAGTCAAGGGTTTCTCTGTGGAAGGCACTCTTTCAAGTACTTGGGCCTCAAGTTATACAATACTTTGTACACTTGGACCAATGTTGAATTAAGCCCAATAGCTCACTGGTTTCTAGTGTAGTGTTGATCCCTTCTTGCTACTCTACACAATAGCTGAACAACAGAATTCTGAGCCAGCTGCAGTGATAAAGCGGGATATCAAATCCAAGCTCTTCTTCTAAGGTGTTTCCTAGTGTTTTCAGAGCTGGCGCAAGACATTTTGGCACCTAAGGCGGAACACAAAATGGCATCCCCTCCCTCCAGGGAAGAAATGATGAGTGAAGATCTACATCTACATCAAGATCTTCCAATTCTTTGATTCTAACTCTACATTTTAAAATTAAACAATTGTCCAGTAGCACCTTAGAGACCAACTAAGTTTGTTTTGGGTATAAGCTTTCATGTGCATGCACACTTCTTCAGATACACGAAAGCTTATACCCAGAACAAACTTAGTTGGTCTCTAAGGTGCTACTGGACAATTGTTTAATTTTTTTATTTATTTCGACTGTGTCAGACCAACATGGCTACCTACCTGAATCTACATTTTAAGTTAGATTATCAGCCCCCCTCCCCCATAACATTTCAAATGGGGAAATAAAATGCAAAATGAAACACAAATATCTCCTTGAACACTGAGACATTGGAATGAGAGTTGATGTGCATGTTCAGTACACTAATTTCATCACCTGTGTATTTGCATGCCTCTTTTCCACAATATTGTGGAATATGATTCACAACATATCAAATGAACAATAAGTGTAACAATTAAAAACATATCAGAAATACAGTGTATAAGTAATACTAGTAAGTAAAAAAATATGTTTCGAGTTCAAATAGCAGCTCAAAGTATATTTTGAAGAAAAACATCAAGTTTGCATTCTTGTTGGATCGAAGTTGTTAAACGAAAAATAATCAAACATGCAAAAGCACAGGGAAAGTTCAGGGTTTTGTGTTGTTGTTTTTTAAAAAAAGCTCACAGCATTAATGTATCTCGTTCCTTCACAACCACTTCAATGGTTCTCTTTAAACCATTAGAACAATTTCAAGACCAACTCTCTTTTCTGCTGACACTAGTAGATTTAAGCCAATACAAATTTAAAATACGAGAGACCAGAATTTGTCATTTCTTGTGAAATACAAAAACTCATTAACTATGGCCTTCTGCAGCCTATATTGCTAAGCCCTTATAAGGGAAAAAAATACGAAGTCTATCCCTGAACATGGACTGGATCATCTATTGTTTTCACCTTTTGAGTTCTTGCAGACCTCTTTGCTTGCAGAGTTACAGAATTCTAATCAACTAAACCATATTCAGGGGCTTTCGTATCTGTCAGAGGCACCACAGCAGATCTTTGTTTCAGTGTAATGCATTTTGGTATTTTCTGATCAATAGCTGTCTTATTAGTCTTTATACTGAGACCTAACGGAAGCCGATGCATTCAAGAAGCTGTGTGGAGTCTCATGTTTTAAAAAGCACAGCTATGCTGATAACTCAATTAGTTTACTTTCCTTGATATTGTTTTAATACCTGTACTTTCACTCCGGTTTGAAAATCAAACTAGAGGTCATCATCCATAATCAGGGGTTCTCAAATGTCCTACAGTTTCACTTCAGCAAAAGATATAAGTAACAAACACATCATAATATCCTAGTGCAGTAGTACAGGGGTCGGGAACCTCTTGTAGGCCTCCAATCCACTCTGTCTGGTCATCATAGCTCCCCCCAAGCCACACTCCTGACCAGCCCTGCTTCTTGAGTGCTTTTGACCAGATGAAATGTGTCCTTGAACTGTGAAAATGCCTCTTGCTTCCCTGGATGGAGAGATATTTGGGTCCCTGACTTTGGCATGTCAGGAATGGAGCCCACTGGCCAAATGTGAAAGGAAAGTCATGCTCTGCCAATCTTTGCCTCTGTACTTGCCCTAGTTTTGCCTATAGCCCCACCTTCCACTGCCAGGCAGCCCCTGAAAAGCTGCCCACAAGGGAACTTACTCTCAGGATGAAAAGTGTTCGCCAACCTTGCCTTTAAAAATGCTGATGATGCAAAGGGTTAGCAAAGGAGGTCTATTGACTTCTGCATGGGCCATGCTATTGGTGATCTACTGCATCACTTTGGATTCCCAGGCTGCAACAATTCAGCATTTGCTTTGCATGCAGGAAGACTTTGGTCCACTCCCTGGCATCTCCAGGAGAGACTCCTGCCTTAAATCCCGGAGAGTTGCTGTTATTCACTATAGGCAATAAAACTGAGCTAGATGGACCAATAGATGGAGGCAGGATTGGAACCACTTGGATGGGCTCCAATGATAGTGATCATTTCTACCTAAGTACCATCTTACAGGCATTCTTCTATCAAACATTATGGGAGCAATATAGGAAGAAGTCTCTGGGAATCGACAGTCCCTGGAATATTGAGCTGGCACTAAAGGGAGCTCCTTCCTGATGTAAATAACTGCAATGAAAATTGGGGAAGAGAATCTGCATAGAAAGCATGATGGGGGCAATGGGTTAAATCCCCCTACACTCATTCCATTGTCTCAATTCAGGTTGGCCCTTTTAATTATTGTTTATTAGTAAAATAAGAGAAAGGCATGAAAGGGATTAGCGTCACATTTGAGTCAAAATCAACATGTTCCACAAATATTTAGAAATAAAAATGCTTAGGTGCTTCTCATTGGAAGGAATAGCAAATTTAATTTGGCTGTCTTTAAGTTGCCCAAGTCTCTAGATAACAGCACTGCTTAATCGTTTTAAGTAAACAGCCTGTCTGTTTTCATATGGTGTTTGCAATACAATGTTTTATTTTATTGGCTTACCCTTCTTTTACTTCTGCTGTACTTACCCAATCTAATTCAATAATCAAATTCCAGTTTCCCCAATTAAAGCTGAAATTATCGTAGCCTCTTTCTCTCTCTTATTTATCTATTTATTTATAGCAAGATCATCCACAACAATAAAATCAGATTTATCTCCACAAATCACAGTGGATCATCTGGTAATAATCACAGCAGTGAAGGGGGGGGGGGATAAATTCAGCAGCCTCCCTCTGTATAAACTATTAGCAATCCCATCCATGCCCTTCATTAGAATACTGCCATTCTTGCCCAGTAATAGTGCAATTAAATCCCTATTACAAAAACAGCAAAGCTATCACAAAAGGAATTTGGTGCAGATAAATAGTTCCATCATTTGTAGAAGATAGTTGCAGCAGATATATAATCATATCATAAACATATTTTTAAAGTCCCAGCACTTCTTTTAATTCACTGATGGAGGGAGAGAAGAAATGTCTAATAGTGGTTGGCATCCGTTTGTCTTGGGAGACAATGGCGGAGTGCCCCTTTGGGGGTGAGGTCAAGCTGTTGGAAGCTCACAGCTCCTGCTGTGGCTGTAGAGACCAATACAGGAGAGACATGTTTTGTTACAGCTGGGACAGATGAAGGTTTTCAATTGTGCTGCTGCAGATGCACCATGGTGTTTCTTCTCTCTGTGCTCCTCCCAGCAGTCATTTCTCCTCTGGTAACTGCTATGGATACACGACTGCAATCGTCTGCAAGGGATTTGCATATGGCAGGGTTGATGTTGCAAGCCTTCATGTTTCGTTTGCAGACATCTTTATAACACAGAGTTCGTCTACCACTTGGCCTGGTGCTGGAAGCCAGTTGCCATAGAATACGTCCTTGGGTATCCTGCAGACATGACCAAGCCAATGTGTTGTTGTTTAGTCGTTTAGTCGTGTCTGACTCTTCGTGACCCATGGACCAGAGCACGCCAAGCACTCCTGTCTTCCACTGCCTCCCGCAGTTTGGTCAAACTCATACTGGTAGCTTTGAGAACAGTATCCAACCATCTCGTCCTCTGTTGTCCCCTTCTCCTTGTGTCTTTCCCAACATCAGGGTCTTTTCCAGGGAGTCTTCTCTTCTCATGAGGTGGCCAAAGTATTGGAGCCTCAGCTTCACGATCTGTCCTTCCAGTGAGCACTCAGGGCTGATTTCCTTAAGAATGGAGAGGTTTCATCTTCTTGCAATCCATGGGACTCTCAAGAGTCTCCTCCAGCACCGTAATTCAAAAGCATCAATTCTTCGGTGATCAGCCTTCTTTATGGTCCAGCTTTCACTTCCATACATCACTACTGGGAAAACCATAGCTTTTAGTCTCCTTTATTGGAGGTTTTTAAACAGATGTTGGATGGCCATCTGTCATAGATGCTTTAGCTGAGATTTCTGCATTGCAGGGAATTTGAAAAGATGACCCATGGGTTCCCTCCCAACTCTACAATTCCATAATTAAGAAAGTTTTCTGGCTCTGATTGGAAGATGTGTGTGGTTTTTTAAGGTGATCAGGCAGCTAATATCACTACAGACACATAGACAGGTCCATTTGCCTTTTTTGTCATCTGTCAAGTCTGGCATTTTTATGCTATAAGGAAAAGACAATCTCCACTGTTTAGACACCCAGCTAAGTTGCTGTTGCTGTGAACTCTTGTGTAACCTCAATTAACAGTTTATATCCGAGCAATTAAAACACACACTTCCCACTGTGAATCACATAGTTAATGAAGTGCAAAGGTAACAATCTTAATCTTCCTGAGAGCTGAAGTATTCGTAATGAGGCCAAATATATGTGTTTGGGGAATCCATCACACTCTCTTTGGGAACAATATTTTCACTATATAACATTCAATTAGGCAAAATAATGTGAACATTACACCTTTAAATACATACATTATTAATTTATTCCATTTTTGTCCCACCCTTCCACTAAGTCACGGCTGTCTTTTCTTTTCTTTTCTTTTCTTTTCTTTTCTTTTCTTTTCTTTTCTTTTCTTTTCTTTTCTTTTCTTTTCTTTAACTGACAGCAACCCTATGAAGTAGATTCGGCTAAAAAGAAGTAGCTGTCCCAAAGACACCCAGTGACCTTCATGATCATGGGATTTGAACTGAGTCGCCTTAGGGAAGGAACCATTACTCTGTAGCAGCATTCAGGTTGTCCCAAGATTAATCCCTGGAATCTCCAGTTAATATCATTTAACAGGTGATGGAAGTGATTTCTATGGAAGGACCCTAGATGGCTGCTGCCAGTCTGGATCTATATATTTTGGAAATTTGTTTGTTTGCTATGCATTCACCTCTCAAGATATTGTAACCAAATTCTGCACAATGGTATTTGAAATCAAGGAGCAGGTTCTATCTATGTTTGGATACAATTGGATGCCATTTGGAATCAAGACGGTGGACTGAACCTTTGAGAACTGAACTGATTTTAATCACTGATTTCAGACTCTTCAAGCATTCATATTTTCCAGGGACAGTCCTGGATTTACAAAAGCTATCCTGGTTTCTGATTTGATCCTGAAATGTCTTACTTTTCTTTAGGATGTCCCTATTTTCAGTGGAGAAATGTTGGAGGGTATGGAGTTATGAGATCCCCCCGAGCCAAGGAGATAAGTAACTATACAATCTTTAGAAGACATATGCAG